GTGCCCAGAGCCCTGTGTGGCCGTGGTGGGGAGACCCTCCGGCAATGTGTGCGGAAGGCCTGCCTCTCCCAGCTCAGTGCTGCCCCAGAGTTATGATGACCTGGGAAGAACTGTGAAAAGCCGTCCCTGTGGCAGCTTGACCTACAGCTGCTCTTTCCATTTTGGGGATTTGGGAGAGCCTTTTTTTGTGGTTAAAGAGCAGTATAACTCATGATGGCTGTTGTGCTCTTTATAATGTCCCTTTGGGATATTAAGCGAGTCAAGGACACAGAGGTGGCACACAGCGCTACTGCTGTAAAGGTTAGCTTCTAAACAGCACGCTGCACAGGGAAGATCTGAAGTTGTCTGACTCACTCCTGACCCTTGTAAGTAGCCACTCTGAGTAACGCAAGTGCTCCCTTGGGCTTGGGGCCTCAATTGTTGGGTTGGACTGCCTTTGCCTTTGCAGCTGCAAAGAATCCACCCCTAGTGAACCCACCTCTTCTGTTGGTGTTTAAACAGTTCAAAATGTTACGTGAGGAAAATGCACATGGTGATGTTCTTAAAATTCCGGGAGTGAACAATGGCTACTCCTGGAGGCATGAGTGGTGATAAAAGACATGGTCACATACTGAGATGCAGGGCATGGTTCTACCTCATACACGAGTTCACTTGAATTTGATGCTAATCAAACAGCCTGTTTGTGGCCTATCAAACATACGTTGCACGTCTGCTTTTATTACTAAAGGAAAGGGCTCATGGACCAGAAGTAGAGAATGTCCATGTTAAAAGTAAAGATCAAATGCCTCCCTTCCTAGGATGCAATGCTGGTCCTCTTTGATGATAAGACTCCGGTTCCAGGTGCCCAGGCCATGCTGTATGTGTATGTACTGGTCTGTTCTTTTGAAACCTTGAGGACATGTATCCCTGACTTCTGTCATGTTCTTTGTTCTGACAAGATATGAAACTGTGGTGAAAACCCTGCTTCTCCGGAGCAGTTTCTCAGAGTCAACTGGGAAGCTGGCTTCAGGGCTGGTCCTCAGTTTGGCTCAAAGAAAACTTCCTGTTTTTACTGTTGATTGTTTATTGATTACTTTTGTCGACAGTGGGCCAGGGGGCACGAGATGTGGGGTCTCCCCCAGGCTGATTCCCGGGGGAGACCCTGTTCTACCTCCCTGTCCCAGGTCAGTTTGGATTGGGGACTGTTCCCACCCTGGGGCCAGAGCACAGTGGGCTGGTCCTGTGTGTGTGTGTGTGTGTGTGCACACGCACGTGCGAGGGGGTCGTTAGAGGTTGTGGAGCCGAGGGGATACTGTGTCCTGGGGTGGAAGCCGCCTGGAACCCGCCGGCGCTGACCTTGAACAAGTCGCCTGCCTTTCTTGCAGGCGGTGCTTGTTAAGCTCAGCAGTGATGGTTTCTCCTCCAGCTCTTTGTCAGAGGAATGATGTGGAGACAAATGGGGAAGCAAATGTGAAAGTACCTTGGAAAAATGACAGAAACTGCTTGTCACAGACACAGGCTCTTGCTTCAGCAGTGGAGGGGGCGGGGCCGACACGGCTGAGCTGGGCTGTGTGTCCCGCCCGCCCGCCCACGGCAGAAACTGACACCCGCCCCGCTTCAGGGCTGGAGACCAGCCGCCCCGCACATCTGCCGGGGTGGGAAACGGCCTCAGAGAGGGGAGGGAACTTAAGTCCAAGTCCCGGGTCCTAAGTCTCAGCCTGTTTACAATACACTGCCTTGTAGTTTCTCCTATTTATGAACAAAATATACATTCAGTTGGAAAAATTGCAAAGCATAGAAAAGTGCAGAGAGAAAGTTTAAAATACTCCTAATTCTGTGACCTAGATATAGATGCAGATCACTCCTTCTGGGGTCCTCCCTGTATTTCTTTTATGCATTAAGATACTTGTAAAAAAAATAAAAATAGCAGTGGTGTTACCCAGCCAAGCTTGGTTTCGTTTGCCTGTGCACCCAGTAAAGCCGATCTGCCGACACTGGGTCGCGGTGAAGGAAGGTGCAGCATTTATTGCAGGGCACCAAGCAAGGAGTCTGGGCAGCCAGTGCTCAAGACACCCGAACTCCCCGAAGGGTTTCAGCAAAGCATTTTTAAAGGCCAGGTGAGGGAGGGGCATCCCAGGGTATGTATTCAGTTCTCTGATTGGTTGATGGTGAGGTGACAGGGTGGTGTAACAGGGGTTAACGTTATCAGTAGGTCTGGGGGTTACTCACTCATGATCATCAAGTAGTTAATTTCTTCCATCTGGGGGTGGTTTTATGACCTGTAAAACAACTCAGGACGTGTGCATCAGATACTATTATCTGGGTCCCTCAGAGAGGAGCCGCAGCAGAGGATATGGGGGAAGGGTCTGTCCCAGGAAGGCCCCACAGAGTCCTGCTCGCTTATAGTGAGTTTCACAGCACATGCTATTTTGTAGCACAACGCTCATCACTGGAGGGTCCGTAGGAGCCTCATTGGTGTCACTTGGGAGCTCGTTAGAAAAACAAGACTCTCAGGCCTCTCCCCAGACTTACTGGAGCAGAATCTGTGCTCAGCAAGCTCGTCAGGTACAGCGGTGCCCGTCCCCCTGAGAGGCACGTGGTGGCCTGCTTTCCCCCTTGCAGTGTGTTTTGAATTCTCCCTTGTCAATCAGCATTTTCATGTAACACGGTTTTTAGCGACGACACAGCACTCCCTCGTATGGCAGTGTCCCAGCACCACAGCCAGTCTCCTGTTTATGTCTCCTATTTTTTAAAATACGTTTTATTTATTTTTAATTTTTGTAATGGGTGGTACTGGGGATTGAACTCAGGACCTCGTGCATGCTAAGCACATGCTTTACTGCTGAGCTGCACCCCCCACCCCGCCACGTGTCCTACTGATGAGACTTTTGAATGTTTGTAGGGTGCTGTTTTCAGGGCACACTTGGTTATGTCCTGAGGACAAATCCCCAGAAGTGCAGTTACTGGATCAGTGAGGGTTCTGAAGGCTTTTGATACACGCTGCCAAATTCTAGCCCAGAGAAGGTATGACTTGACCGGTCACTTGAAATCTTGGCCTGGGCTTCTCAGGAGGCAGCTGAGCGCGTTGGGGAAGAGCTCCCACTTGGGAGAGGTACAGGCCTTGACGTGTGTGTCTGATTTTCTGCTGGCTCAGTGATCTTGGACCAGTTGCTTAACTTCTCTGACCCTCTGTCTTCTCCCCTGCAGAAAGGTGATGTACCACTTAATTCAGAGGGCAGGTTTTACTGGGCTGCAGTGGACGATTTCCCTCTGGCGGGGGGGGGCGTGGTCTGTGCACCTGCCGGTTGTGGTCTCCAGGAGCACTGAGTGAGATAGAATAGAAACCACCTTGGAGCTGGTACCTGGTTTATTCTCTTCCCTCTGAATAAAATGAGCTCAGAGGCCTGCGGAGATCCTGTCACAAAGCCCTTTGATTCTCTTTTATGAAAGATTTTCTGTTACACTTGATAAATTGCATCATAACAGGAAGGCACCAGGGTGTCACTGGCCTTTTAGTTTGGTTCTCAGGTGTCCCGTGTCCCGTGTCCTGAGGCTTGGGCACAGCAAAGGAGGGCAAAGAAAGCATCAAAGAGAGGAAATTCCTGAAAATTTTCTTAAAATTGAGCAGAGAGTTAAGATATTGCATATCATGCCATGGCGAGCACACTGGGAGGTGGTCGAGCGGGCAGAGGGAAGGCGTGTGTGCGGGAGTGGTGGCGTCAGGGCCCTCCCTCGTCTTCAGGGTCCCTCTCAGCCCCCAGGGCCTTCAACAGTGGCCCCCAAGGGATGACACTGCATCCCCTTGTGGGGTTGTGTCGGTCCGAGGAGTGTTGTCTTGTGCTGGGCAACCTCCTGGATGCTGGGCTGGCAGGGAACACTGACCAGGCCCAGAGCAGAGCAGGCCGTAGCTAGTGGCAGGGCGGCTCCAAGCTCAATGAGGCTGACTCCATTTGCTGGGTCTCTCGTGGGTCTGTTGGATTTGGCCTCTGGAGAGAGAGGGCCACTGGCTGGGTCCACTCCTTAGAGACATCATCCCTAACCCTTCAATGGTCTGCTCTGCTTCTGAACCCCCACCAGCCTGTCATCCCTCTCCCTGGAGAAGGCTGAGCTGCTGGCAGCATCCAGACAGCGAGTCTTCAGACTGAAGCGTACGAGGGCGAGTCTATGAACTGCCTTCAAAGCACTCAGTGGTTGTTTTCCAAGTTCTCGAAACTCACTGCTTTCTCTGGTCATCATCAAATATACTGGTTATGCTTTATTATTTAAATTGTAAACCATTTGGCCAGAACTTGATAGAGATGCATTTTGGGAAACAGAAGAACAAGCTGGGGCTTTTTTAGAACCGTCTTCAGAAGTCACACTTGCTGCCGGCCGGGTCCTCGGTATTAGTAATGCAGGATCGCCCTGGCCGTGCAAAGCCTGCTATCAGTCCTCCAGACATTGCCTGGAAACTGCCAGCTGTCCCGGTTTGCAGCCTTCAGGCCTTGTATCTCCTCAGGTGCAGTTGCCATGCTGAGCTGCAGGAGTCTATTATTTTGAAATGGCAGCTGTAGGTCATCAGGGAGGACGTCACCAGGGAGGCAGATTTTGCAGGGCAGCAGTGGACGATTTCCCTCCCGCGGGCGGGCGTGGTCTGTGCACCTGCCAGGTGTGGTCTCCAGCAGGGAGTGCAGGAACTCTGTCGCTGCAGCAGGTGCCTGACAAAAAGGAGCCTTTGGAAGGTCCCGGGAAAGCAGTTCACAAAGCACACCTAGGACCTGCAGCAACATGCCGGGCCTTTTAAGAACAAATAGCAAGAAAGCCAGAGCCTGGGAGCAGAAGTGCAGGGGTGGATGTGCCTCCAGGGCCTTGAGCCCTTGCTCAGATGGAGAAATTCTTGCCCTTTGCCCGCTTCCTTGGGGAGTGCAGGAAGGCAGAGCCCAGGCTTGTTGCTTTCCATCCTCAGCCATTGGGCAGCGACTCTGCTCAGAGGGAGGCGGGTGGCGCTCCAGCCCCACCCTGGCTGCCCACGTGAATGGAGTGAAAGACGGAAGTACCTGCATTTCCGAGCTTCCAGTGCAGTGCCCTGTGCTGCACACCTGCCGGGGGACCTGCGGGGCAGCAGGAGTTGGCAGACGCCCTGCTTCCTCGGGGGCCCTGGGTGCTGCTACGGAACTGGGGACCAGGCTCTTGATTGGCACCCAGTGATGTCCTGAGGATCCTAAGCCCCTGGAGGGGCGGCCAGGGAAGGCCCTCTCTTCTCCCCGAGGATGAAGGTGCCGGAGGCCCCCTCCACCTTCACGAAGATGGCTGCCTTTTACCAGTGCATCAAGCCTGACCCCAGGTGCGCCTCTGAGAGCCAGGAGGTGGTGGGAGAGGCTGAGGGGCCGAGAGGGAGGGAGGCCTGCCACCACCACGACCACCTGCCTGGGGCTGGCGAGTAGCCTTTCAGCATCTGTCCTCGTTGATGACCTCCTTCCTCACAGGCATTATCTTATCCCCTTGCATTGTGTGAATTCTGGAGCAAAACGATGATTTCTTTGGGACACATGCATATTTTGAAAGAGAGGGGAGCAGGAAGCAGAGGTGAGGGGGTGGGGAATGAAAGGAAGGGAGAAGGAGAGCAAAGGAGGACCGGGAGACAGGGCATTTGCCCCTTAATAGCCCAGGCCCGTACCTGGGATGGACAGGGCGTAGTCTGTGCGCTTCGGGTGGAGGGAAGGCAGCGGAGGTCAAAGTAGACCATTAGAAGTATTCCTGTAACTAAAGGTCAGCACAAAGGGCTTGTTCTTTTATTTATTTATTTTTATTGTTTAAATTGAAGTGTAGTCGCTTTGCAATATTAAATGTTACAGGTGTACAGTATAGTGATTAACAGTTTTTAAATGTTACACGCCATTTATAGTTGTTATAAAGTGTTGACTCCGTTCCCTTTGTTGTACAGTGTGTCCTTGTAGCTTATTTTCTACCCAATACTTTGTACCTCTTCCTCCCCCTCTCCTCTGTTGCCCCTCCCCCTGCTGGTAACCTCACTTGTTCTCTGTATCTATGAGTCTTTTTTGTTATAGTCGCTAGTTGGTTGTGTTTTCTAGATTCCACATAGAAGTGACATCATACAGTATTTGTCTTTCTCTGTCTGACTTGTTTTGCTCAACATGATGCCAAAGGGCTTGTTCTTAACTGACAGACTCCCTTTGGGAGCAGAGGCCAGGAGACTGGCAGAGCCACCTCCCCCTGCCCCGCCATGCTGCAGGTGACCTCATCCCTTGAAAATGTTTGGCCCTTAGTGCGTTTTGATTTTGTGATGATAGTACCCAGGGAAATAGAGCTATGACATGGTTTAAGTTCACTTGCAAGTGTAGGGAAACAAATTGCACGTCTCGTGCACCGAATGGGAAATTCCAGCGTGGCGCTCTCTATAGGCCCAGGTGGTGGTCGCCTCTGCACGTCACCGGGGCTGGGTGGATAGTCTTGGGAAGCGGAAGTTGCAACTTCGGCAACACATGTCCTGGAGGTGTGGGAGGTCCTGGGGGACTTGGGCAGACAGTCCACCCACTAAGCCCTTCCTCCTTCAGCTGCGCAGGGACAGCAACCCAACAGCTGAAGGATTCCTTGCGAACAGGGGCCTTTGCACTGCAGAAAGCTCTGTGCGTGGAAGTCAGCATCACTGTCATTGTTCCATAAAAATCTTTTCGCTGATAGTTATTCAACCTCAGTGTCTGATGCTGCCTGTTTTGAGTGGATGAGAATAGAATGGTGGTGTGATGTCTCCTCATTAATAGGCTTCGGAACATGACTTCCTACTAAAAAAACAAAAAACAAAAAAAACCCTTAGCGCTGCATCTGCTGTGCTGCAGAAATGCCAATCACATATGGAACATCCTTGATAAATTAAGCCTCAAGAACTTTCTTCATGTCACTGTTTTTGGTATGCATGCGCTGAAAAGGGGGGCATTTATTGCCTCAATAAACTCATGAAGTTAAAAGTAAACCAGCCCTCACAAACAGTCCCCGAGCGCCAGGCTGCGGGGCCCCGCTCGTCCTGTGTGTGCGGCGGTCAGCACAAGGCGCAGTTCTCACTCGGAGACTTTCCGAGTGGCATCGCATCTGGGCAGGATAGCCCAGCATTTGAGTATGTTTTCCTGGGGATTATGCAAATACAGTTTCTGAGGTTGCAACATTTGAAGCTCTTAAACGCTTACTATTTTGGAAATGATGGTTTTTGTAGATGTCTCTAATAGGTTTTCTTATTCTAATAACCTGAAAATGTCTAAAGTTTTTCAAATCTCGTAGGAAAACATTCACTTCTGGATGAGTGGAAACAGGTTACTCCTGTGAAAGCTGTCATGCGTCAATTCTGAGATATGAGTTTTGTTGGTGATTTTTCTTGTAGATGTAGGCTGTGTACGTGAACACAGGTTCGTGTGTGTGTGTGAGTGTGACGGCACATACGCTGCATTGGGCACTGTATGCCTTCTCCGCTAAGTAATTTGTCAATGTGCCCATTCACAAGAACTCTGAGTACCACCAAATCAACTGTTACATAAATTTCAAAAAATGGTGTAGTTTATCTTACGTGAGATACTATGTATATGCTTATAAACTATGCTGTTTATCTTGTGGATGACGAGTTTGTTTGAATGAAGCTCTGTTGTTTCTCTGCAAAGAAACAGCCCCACGAGTTGTGGCCCACGGCCTCCTTCTCTCTGGCTGCCCTCACTGTCCCCGCCCAGCCCGCAGCCGGAAGGAAGCCTGAGGACGGGGACAGGGCATCTGGAACAGCGACCTCCTCTGCATCCATATTTCTTGACTTCCAAAGGCCGTTGCACTCTGCATGGTTACAGGGCAGGTGACGTCGAAAGGGGGACAATGGACTTGAAGAACTCAGGCTAAAGAAATGTGACATTGTTTTGCTAAGTCATGGCTTTTGAAGGAAGTCTGTCTTCAAGACATTGCGTGCTGGGTGGCCTTGGGAACTATGATTGGGTAGTTGATACTCATTATCAGGAGATGAGTCCTTTGTATAGCAAGTTTTATAAGTGCCTCTGATTCTTCCTTTCTTTCTTTTCTCTTCCCTTTTCTTTCTCCCTTCCTTCCTTCCTTCCTTTCCATCTTTCCTTTCTTCTTTCCTGCCTTCCCACAATCTTCATTGAGCACCTCCTGTGTGGCACATGTTGGTACCTGTTCCCTATTCTCAAGGAGTTAGTCTTCAACTTTTACATCCTTAGCCAGATAGGGGATGACTCACTTCTCTAGGCCAAGCCTAATTTCAGTTTTTTAATCTCAAGATAATCAATTACAAGTTGCTAGGAAACCTCAAAACCGACCGCCCTGTAAGTTCCTTTGCTCCACCTCCCGCTCTCCTCCGAGCCCTGTGACTCAGGTGTCTGAGTCCTCTGATTTCAGCCCTTTGCTTTCTTTTCTTCCATATGTCAGAGTGGATCTATTCTCCTTCCTCCCTGTCCTGACAGGTGGATGGAGAAGGTCTGGCACATACACACGGAGGTGTCTGCTCCACAGGGCAAGAGGTCTTCAAGCACCTTCAAGGAGAACTGGCCATGCGGAAGTCCAGTGCCAGTGGCTCTGCCACCTTGGGGTGGGAGCAGAGGTCAGGTCCTCTGCCCTTGAGGATAAAAGTATCTCTCACAAGGCAGCAGAGCTGGCACAATTTTCCAACAGAGATTTCTCACAGGAACTTTGTAAGCCTTACACATTCCGTTGCCTCAGTAATGTGAAACTTATTTTTCTAAAAAAAGGTACAGGCAGATCCTTGTGTGACTCACTAGAGAACAATAGTTAAGTCACAGTTTATTTTTGTCTTTTTCCCCAAGGAAGGGGGAAATTGATTAAATGTGTAGGGAAGGCAAGCAGGCTTCAATCTATAAAGGGGAACTGGATCGAAGAATCGTGCCGAGATGTGATTAAAACTGGTAAGTACGATGACCAGAAGCCGTCGTGCTTCTCACCATGCATTGTGGGAGGTGCTGGCTCCTCCTGCCAGTCCCCCTGGGGAAGTGGAAGTGAAGCTGACTCCTGAAGGCTGGGTGGAAATTGTTAAGGAGAAAGTGGAGCATGAAAGCAGGGAAGAGCATGTGAGCAGAGGGAACAGCATCTGCTAAGACCCTGGGCCACAAGGACATGAAGGCTTGTGGGGCAGAGAGAACAGGGCAGGCACATTTATGCCAGCTGTGCATGGGGCCTCTGGCTTAGATCCAGATGGCCTGCCCGTCTTGTCCACGTGCAGATTTACCCACATGCACAGTGTCCCCCTATTCCTACCCACACCTCCAAGCTTCCACCCGAGGTCATAACCTTCCTCCTTTAATATTTGCTGTAGTGTGGGATGACTGGGGACACACTGTATCATGTCTTGTCTTCCAAAAATGTCTGTATTTCACCTTTTTGCTGGTAACACTTTTTTCCAGCAGCTTTATTGGCACCTAATTTACATACTATAAAGTTTACCTGTTAGAAGGGTACAGTCACTAGGTTTTAGTGTATTTACAGAGTTGTGCAGCTATGAACGGAATCTAACTTCAGAACATATTCATGTCACCTGAAAGAAACCTTGAGCCCATTAGCAGTCACTCCCCATTATTCCCCCTCCCCCCCACCCCTGCACCCCACTCCCCAACTCTAGGCAAACACTAATCTGTGTGTCTCTGTGGATTTTCGTTTTCTGAATATTTCATACGAGTGGAATCATGCAGTATGTGGCCTTTTGTGTGTGGCCACTTCTGCTCAGCATATGTGTTCAAGGTTGTTTCACTCTTTTTTATGGCTGAATACTATTCCATTATATGTATGTATCACGTTTTAAATTTATTCATCAATCAATGAACATTATTTCCACTTTTTGATTATTATAGATAATGCTCGACATTGGTGTATGAGTTTTTGTGTGCGCTTCCCCATTTTCTATTGTTGTAAAACACACCTAACATAAAACTTACCATCTTGGCCATTTCTAAGTGTGTTGTTCAGGGCTATTGAGCACATTCATCTTGCTCTGCAGTCATCACCACCCTCTACCTCCAGAACTCTTTCCATCTTGCAAAACAGAAACGCCCTCCTCCTTAAACTACCCCCCACCCCATCGGCCCCCGGCCCCTGGCAGCCACCATTCTGTTTTCCGTCCCTATGATTCTGACTCCTCTACGTAAGTAGTGGAATCATTCAGCATTTGTCTTTTAGCAATGGGCCTATTTCACTTAGCATAACGTCCTTAAGGTTCATCCATGAGGTAGCCTATTTCAGAACTTATCCCGATGTTTCTTCTTAAATTTCTGTGGGTTTAGCACTAGCATTTAAGCCTGTGACCCATTTGGCAGTAATTTTTATGTA